GATAGTAGTAGCAGTTGGCAGTAGGAGCTGCCAACTGATTTTCCCTTTGGTCTACTTACTTTTAAAATTTTTTAATCGGCTGAGCACGGTGGCTCCCGCTTGTAATCCCAGCAGGGAGGCTGAGGTGGGTGGATCACCTGAGGTCAGGAGTTCGAGACCAGCTTGGCCAACATGGTGAAATCCCATCTCTACTAAAAATACAAAAATTAGCCAGGCATGGTGGTGGGCACTTGTAATCCCAGCTACTCAGGGGGCTAAGGCAGGAGAATCGCTTGAACCCAGGAGGCAGAAGTTGCAGTGAGACGAGATCACACCACTGCACTCCAGCCTGGGTGACAAGAGCGAAACTCCGTCTCAAAAAAAAAAAAAGAAAGAAAGAAAAAAATTTTAATTGATTGCCAATTCTGTACCAGACACACTATTAGCGTGAGGCCATGCTCCCCTGTAGGGACATGCAGTTTGCACACTGCACAGGGGCATCCAGCCCAGGGAGCAAGGAAAACTATAATTCAGTTCTCCACCTGCTGGGCCACACATCTTCATGTGGGCTGGGTCTGCCTCATCGGAGGAAGGGACGCCTTTTTCCTCACACAAAGCAACCACCTGCTTGCCAAGTCTTGAACCCTCAGTGCTGCATCTGCCCAGTGGAGGTGGGTTTTTTTAATTCCCATAAAGGCACAGCATAGGCTGACAGTAGTAGCCCCTGCATTGTGGAAACTACATTCCTTCTTCAAGTCTGTCCCTATTAATGATCCATTTCCCTCTGACTTCTGTAATGACCGTCCAACACCACAACCTGACCTTGCCTCTCCCCTGCACCCCTCAACAGCTCACAGTCATCTATAAGATGTAGTCCAAAGCTCTGGGCGTGGTGTGCAAAGCCCTTCATCATCTCTCTTCTGCCCTCTCTCCAGACTCATTTCTCCCCACTTCTCCACATACTCACCTTGCTTCAGCTAAGCTGAACTTCGTGTGGTAGCTGGAATGTGCCAAAGTGGTTTCCACTGGCTTAGCCCCTTTTCATGCACTGTTTATCTGAGTTTGGGTGATCGGATACACCCTACCCCACCACCTGACAATCTCTGACTTATTAATGGTGATGATGATGAAGGAGAGACAGGAGAAAAAAATGAAATAATAAAGATGATAGATAACTATTGTAACAGACTGTTGAATAGAACAACTCTTCCCTTGCCTAAAAATGGCACTAGGATCTACAACCCAAAACTATAGGTGCTATGTGTCCCCACATTCTAAAGCAGAGCCACCAAGAATTGGATCAGCACCAGGTGTGGTGGCTCGTGCCTATAATCCCAGCACTTTGGGGGGCCAAGGCAGGAGGATCACTTGACACCAGGCGTTGGAGACCACCCTGAGCAATATAATGAGACTCTGTCTCTACAAAAGCAAAGAAAAATTATTAATAGCCAGGTATGGTGGTGTGCACCTGTAATCTCAGTTATTTAGGAGGCTGAGGTAGGGGGATTGCTTGGGCCCAGGAATTTGAGGCTACAGTGAGCTATGATTATATCCCTGCACTCTAGCCTAGGTGATAGAGCAAGATCCTGTCTCAAAAAAAAAAAAAAAAAAAAAAAATTGAACCAGAATGCTCCTCAATGCTACATGTCCCTACCACAAGCACCACAAGCCCCACACACCATTCCTCCAGGCCCCCACGCACACATACATATAAACAGGTTTGGGGTGACAGCCTACTGGAGACAGCAGAAGGTTTTTCCTCCCCTTAATCCCTACCCCCCAACTCCTAAGAAGACAAGGGAAATGGAGCCAAGAGATCTGTGATGTTTGCAAGAAAAAGAGACAACCATTCCATTGTCCAATTAGATGTCTCCTGAATAGGCAGGTTGGCGTCTGGCCCTGTGCTGACTGGACACAGAGGGACGTCGCAGGGGCAGGCTGCACAGCACCATGGGTTTCCCACAGATATCAAGAAGCTTGCCAGCCTGAGTAGTCTTAGAGATACTCCACCAAGAAGGGTGCCCACCAGGTACAAGGACCCATCGGCAAAGGGTTTGGGAGTGTCCTGTGGGCTGGGGGAATATTGAGCTGAAGTAGTGTAGAAGAGAGGGGGGCATATATCTCTTGCGTCATTACCCTTCAGCCAAAGATCACAGGAATGCACCTGTAGTTGAGTAAGTTGAGTTTATCACTCATTGTAGCAAGGAGGATAGACACCATATGGAACTATGGGGGTCTCAGTAAGGGGGTGTTAGAAAGATTCTGTTACAGGATTTGGACTTTGGTTGAGTAATTTAGGGGAAGGTCTAAGGAAGCAGGAGATTGCTACGGATTGGGTGCTGTCAGAAAGCAGGAATGATTCTTTTTAAACATTTAAAAACAATTTTAATTGACAAAACATTGTGTATATTTACAGTGTACATGATGTTTTGATATATGCATGTATTGTGGAATGACTAGATTAAGCTAATTAGCATATCCTTTACCTGACATACTTATCATTGTTGAGGCAAGAACTTTTAAAATCTACTCTCTGTCAGGCATAACGGCTCACACCTGTAATCCCAGCACTCTGGGAGGCCAAGGCGGGCGGATCACGACAAAGTCAAGAGTTCGAGACCAACCTGACCAATATGGTGAAACCCAGTCTCTACTAAAAATATAAAAATTAGCTGGGCGTGGTGGCATGCGCCTGTAATCCTAGCTACTCAGGAGGCTGAGGCAGGAGAATCGCTTGAACCCGGGAGGTGGAGGTTGCAGTGAGCTGAGATCGCACCACTGCACTCCAGCCTGGGCAACAGAGCGAGACTCCATCTCAAAAAAAAGAAAAGAAAATTCAACACCACTTCATGATAAAAACACTCAATAAGCAGAATAGAAAGGAATTTCCTCAACCTGGTAAGACTGTCTATGAAATGCCCACAGCTAACACCATGCTTTTTTTTTTTTTTTTTTTGAGACGGAGTCTCGCTCTGTTGCCCAGGCTGGAGTGCAGTGGCCGGATCTCAGCTCACTGCAAGCTCCGCCTCCCGGGTCACGCATTCTCCTGCCTCAGCCTCCGAGTAGCTGGACTACAGGCGCCCAACCGTGCCCGCTAATTTTTGTATTTTAGTAGAGACGGGTTTCACCGTGTCTCGATCTCTGACCTTGTGATCGCCCCTCGGCTCCAAAGTGCTGGATACAGGCGTGAGCCACCGCGCCCGGCCAACACCATGCTTAATGGTGAAAAACTTAACAACTTTCCCTGTAAGTTGAGCACTGGGACAAGGGTGTCCACTCACCTCTTCTATTCAACATTATACTGGAGGTTCTAACCAGGGCAATTATGCAAGAAAAAGAAACGAAAGGCACCAATTAAACAGGAAGAAGTAAAAGTATCTCCATCTCCACATCCAGCCTCTCCACCTCCTTAAAACTGAAGCTGGACAGGTGACAATATCTGTTATTGGAAGGGTGGAGTTGTCAACTTGCTCTTTAAAGGCTCCATTCACCTGCCTTTTTTCTAACATCTCTTCTTGTTTTCAAGTCCTCCTTAACTGGCGCTGTCACAGAGCTCGGGTTCCCCTTTCAGTGACCAGAAACTTGCTTGTTTTCTTTGCTTGCTGGGCAGTGAGGAGGTTCCTCAAAGGGACTCTGCTGCGGCACATGTTTGCATTCTCACTGTTGGCTCTGATGCAGGACTTTCACACACTGTGGGTGACAGCTCTTAGTGTACAGCTGCTGCCACTGCCCACCCGCATGCCCTACACACACACACACACACACACACACACACAAAGAGTTTGTAGAGCCTGAGGGCTTCTTCGGCCTGCAGAGATAAGCACATTTATTGGCTGTCTTCCCTTCCTGCTTGCTCACCTGCCTGCCCCAACCCTCAATCTGTGTGTCCTGATGTGACCTACTTGCACTGGAATCCTTGTCTCACAGTAAGCTTCTGGAGAATCCAGAACTATTACAGATCGTCATACTAGATCATGGAACCAATTTAGTGGCTCCTGACCAGTGAATTAAATGAAATCAGGGCCAGGGGTGTTGACTCACACCTGTAATCCCAACACTTTTGGAGGCCGAGGCAGGTGGATCACTTGAGGCCAGGAGTTCGAGACCAGCCTGGGCAACATGTTGAAACCCTGTCTCTAGTAAAAATACAAAAATTAGCTGGGCATAATGGTGCATGCCTGTAATCCCAGCTACTTGGAAGGTTGAGGCAGAAGGACTGTTTGAAGCCGGGAGGCAGAGGTTGCAGTGAGCCAAAATCTCACCGCTGCACTCCAGACTAGGCGACACAGAGAGACTTCATCAAAAAAAAGAAAGAAAGAAAGAAGACAGAGAAGAAAGAAAGCAAGAAAAGAAGAGAAAGAAAGAAATTAAATACAACAGGAAATAGAGTGCACTCTGCATTTGTTTCCTTTTCAGGAAAACAAATGGGTCATGTAAACTGCATCTCTTAGGATGGAACAAAGACAAAAATATTTGGGAAAATTCTGCTCTAAAGATTTTTCATTGTTTTTTAAACAACTGTCAGGTCAACATATGACCTTTGAGGGAAAAAAAATGCTCCACTTGTCTATAATACACTAAGGAGAGGCCAAAAAGCAGTGCTAGGTTTTTCTGGATTGGAGGACGTTTCTCCACTCTCCACCCCCCGATTTTGTGGTCACTTAATTTTCCAAAAGTTTGCAATAATTATCCTTGTAAGAGTCTGTTGAGAATGAGTTCTTTGCATTGCTGATGGGATTATGAACTGAACTGCTGGCTTTCAGTCAGCAACCCTGTAAATCCCTGGATTTATGCTAAGAAAAAAGAACACAAAAGAACCACAATGTGACATGCAGAATATTGCACGCTGTAGTGTTACACATTCAGTTAAAAAGTGAAAGCAACTTCCATGTCTGCATTGGAGAGGCCAATGTTCCTGGGAAGAGAGGCTTTCAAGTTGAGTTTGCAGAGCACTTCGCAGAAAGACTGAGTGTCCATCGTTTATATCAAAAACCTCCGGGAATGCTGGTGAAGACTGGGGGCGCTTTAGGTACCTCCTTGGCAGCCCCAACGAGGAAGGAGCTGGGGACCCCTGCTCCTCTCAGCTGCGCTCTGTTCTCCCCAGAGGCTTGCTGGAGGGCAAGCAGTTCAGCAAGAACTCAAAACAAGGGCACAGCTCTCACGGATTCCAGTACTCACTGAAAACGGCTCAGCACAAAAAAAGCACAGTTTTGTTGAATGCCACTGGGAGGCGAAGCGGGGAGGGAGGTGCAGGCAGTTAGGAGGTTCCAGAAAGGGAAGTGGTTGGCAACGATTTGTCCTTTTAGTTCCTGACACCCAAGACCACAGCGGGCCTGTGGCCAACGGGGACAAAAAATCCACAGGTGGGGTTTTTTAACAGCTTGTTCTTAAGAGAGCTTCCCAAACCACAGCGTAATGAGCACTCAGGTGTCTCAGGCCCACGGAAAGTTTAATAGATGAAACCCTGGATCGTCTCGAAGTGGTGGTTGTTAAGAAGTTTAAATATATTGACCGGAAACGGGGAAAAATCAGAGAGTGGAGGAGCCGCTCGCACTGCGGGGCAATCCCTGAGGGCTCGGGGCAGAGGACTGGGGACCAAGCAGGAGCTGGCGGGGTGAGCTCTGCGAAGCGGCCGTGAGACCGAGCGCCCATGGGCCGGTCACGCCGGGTGACCGCTCACCCCCCAACTCCAGCAGGAGCGCGCGCGCAGGCCCCGCGGGCCCGGGAGGGCGGCACGGGCGGGGCCCCAGCGCTCTCACCGCCCGGGGGTGTGGTTCCCGCTGCTGGGCCGGGCGGGGCGGCGGGTTTAAGGCGCGGGCCGGCCCGACCCGGCTCACTTGCGCCTTTGCAGCTGCCACCGCACCACGCCATGGAGCGGCCGTCGCTACATGCCCTGCTCCTCGGCGCCGCCGGGCTGCTGCTCCTGCTCCTGCCCCTCTCCTCTTCCTCCTCTTCGGACACCTGCGGCCCCTGCGAGCCGGCCGCCTGCCCGCCCCTGCCCCCGCTGGGCTGCCTGCTGGGCGAGACCCGCGACGCGTGCGGCTGCTGCCCGATGTGCGCACGCGGCGAGGGCGAGCCGTGCGGGGGCGGCGGCGCCGGCAGGGGGTACTGCGCGCCGGGCATGGAGTGCGTGAAGAGCCGCAAGAGGCGGAAGGGTAAAGCCGGGGCAGCAGCCGGCGGCCCGGGGGTAAGCGGCGTGTGCGTGTGCAAGAGCCGCTACCCGGTGTGTGGCAGCGATGGCACCACCTACCCAAGCGGCTGCCAGCTGCGCGCCGCCAGCCAGAGGGCCGAGAGCCGCGGGGAGAAGGCCATCACCCAGGTCAGCAAGGGCACCTGCGAGCAAGGTGGGCACGAGCGCTTCCCTCTCCAACCCTGACCCTCTCGGCCCAGCGAAGGGCACATCCGACGGGGCGTCCGCGGCGGCCTCGCCCGGCGCTATTCACCTCGATTCCCCCGCGGGCATCCGAGGAGCCAGATGGGAGGGAAAGAGTTGGCAGCCGCGGAATGCCAGGAGGGGTGGGCGACGCCCCCCCTTCTCCTTTTTGGTGGTTTTGAGAGTTTCGTGCGTGCGTCAAGAAAGTGAGAACTCACAAGGCTGGGTGTATATGTAGAAAAGATTTTCCGAGACCTCAGACTTCCCCATCCCCAAAGCGCACCCAACTCGTGCTAACATCTGTCCATTTCTTGTCATTTTCTTTCTTGGCTTGGGGATGTAGAGAGAGGTGAAGTCATGAGATGGGGGAAAGCAGTTTGACAATGAAATATAAAGTAAGGACTTCCAGACAGATTTTTTTTTTTTTTTTTTTTTTTTTTTTTAAGACAGGATCTTGCTCTGTCGCCCAGGGTAGAGTGCAGTGGCATGATCTCGGCCCACTGCAACTTCCACCTCCTGGACTCAAGCGATCCTCCTGCCTCAGCCTCCCAAGTAGCTGGGACTACAAGCCTGTGCCACCACGCCTGGTTAATTTTTGTATTTTTTTGTAGAGACGGAGTTTCACTATGTTGCCAAGGCTGGTCTCGAACTCCTGAGCTCAAGTAATCCTGGCCTGCTGGGATTACAGGCATAAACCACCGTGCTCAGCCCTGATTTCTTAGTATTGAAGAAAATAGTCCACTTTCTAAAAATTAAAGGTTCTCAGACAGTAATCTAGCTAATTATTTGTGGACAAAAATAAAATACAAACTCTTTGAAGAATGTTTTTGTGATGCACTTTGTTGTCAACCTTCTGATCATTTTGTTTTCCCTTCCTGTTTCTTTGATTTGTATTGTTTTGCATAATTTGTCCCCAGGATGCACTGTTCAGAAATGTCTTTGAGATTGTTTGATTGTTTATTTTATTCCAAGCAAGTCCAAGCTTGCTGTAAATGAAATAAGAAAATAGGCCGGGTGTGGTGACTGATGCCTGTAATCCCAGCACTTTGGGAGGCCAAGGTGGGCAGATCACGAGGTCGGGAGTTCGAGACCAGCCTGACCAACATGGCGAAACCCCATCTCTACTAAAAAACAAACATATAAAAATTAGCCAGTCCTGGCTAACACGGTGAAACCCCGTCTCCCCACTAAAAAAAAAAAAAAAAAAAAAAAAAATACTCGCTGGGCAAGGTGGCAGGCGCCTGTAGTCCCAGCTGCTCCGGAGGCTGAGGCAGGAGAATGGCGTAAACCCAGGAGGCGGAGCTTGCAGTGAGCTGAGATCCAGCCACTACACTCCAGCCTGGGCACAGAGCCAGACTCTGTCTCAAAAAAAAAAAAAATTAGCCAGGTGTGGTGGTGCACACCTGTAATCCCAGCTACTCAGGAGGCTGAGGCAGGAGAATGCTTGAATCTGGGAGGCGGAGGTTGCAGTGAGCCGAGATCATACCACAGTACTCCAGCCTGGGCAACAGAGAGAGACTCCATCTCAAAAATAAAGAAAGAAGAAAATAAAGTCTGGACTTGTAAACACACACACACACACACAGAGAAATTTTAACTCTAATGCCTGAAATAACATTTTCCATTGGCAGTATTTTCAAGGGAAAGTCAGACATTCAATGTTGGCAGCTCCTAATCTTAGCTAAGGTAGAAAAGGGAGAGGAGGCAGTTCTGAGATTACAGAAGCTATTGCTTCTTTAACACAGTTCAGACTTTCTCCAGAATTTCCAAATTCTTTCTTTAGAGCTTTTCCCCGAAGTCCACAAACTAATAGATTGTATGTCATCAATTTCCGAGTTCACTACTGAAAGCCTTAAATTGTGTAACTCACTATTAAATATTTATAGTATCATCACCTTAAACTTAGAAAATTGCAATCCAAAATAATCTGCATATGTTTCCAATAGAAACAGTTATGTGTTACTTTGGATCTCACTTGTCAGTCACGTAATGAAAAGATAAATGTGCATTATTTAAGAATTTATTCCAAATATTGAGATTTTCCTATAAACATTACAGTGGGGAACTTTCTCTATAGGTTTTCCAAAACGACAGATACTTGCTTTATCCGAGCAGAAGGTTAGCTTGGTGATTGTTCAAGTGTTGTCAATTTCTAGTTTATACTTAATATTCCTTTTTCTCATCTGCTACTTACATCTCCAAACACTCACACAGTCTGATTATAAAATATTGAGACCGTCATATAGAACCAGTTTCATAACCTCATTACCACGTCCACCCAGCTCAGTGCGTCTCCAGACTGCAAACCCTTTGAGGGTTCCAGCGTGGCTTTTCTTTATATTTGGGGAAATGTTCGAGAAAACAGCATCTAAAACTGGAAACCTTGACTTAAATTAGCCATTTCTTCTCATCCTAAATTGAGAGAGATGAGGTCTAAATGGCAGAGACAATTTGTAGGAGAATGCCAAAGACAGCAGAAGAGAATGGGAAGCCTTTCCCAGAGCAGAACCTTTCCACTGCAGAGACAATAGAGGGATCCCTATCACGTCCCCTAAATATTTCTTCTGACACCTGAATGGGTTTTGACAATCATAGAAGCAAACTGGACAGAGTGCCATTTACTTCTGTGCCATTTCATACTGGGGCTTTGCACAGAATAGGAAATGCGTTGTCTAGGTTCCTCTAGACCTCTAGGTTCCTTTCTATTCTCAGAAGAAACTTGAGTTATGCTTGAGTATAACTTGAGTGGGGGCCAGGTAGGGGCAGCATTGTGGGATTCAGCCACAATGGTGTGATTCAATCTGCCTTCTGGTCTTTTGGTTCCATTTAACATGCATTTACTGAGCAGCTAACTTGAGTCAGCACTGTACTAGGTGCTATATACCAGGGATGTACAAAACAGATTTGATGTTGCTGATTAAGAAAGTATCTGTACAAGTTACAAACTCACCTCCCAGAGCACTTGCCCTGGAGCCCTGGAGCTTGCCCCAGTCTTCCTCCTTTTGTAAGATCACCACTTACCCACCTGGGAAGAGATCTTGATCTGCTTGTTTTCCATACCTCTCTGGTAGAAGGCAAAGCGATCTGCTTGAAAATATGTCTGAAAGATAATCACCAAATAATTTCGAATCTTGGAACTGTCATTATGAATTTACTGCCATTAGATTGTATTGAGGTCCCTGAAGTCATAGGTAACCAGATGGGGGAATTTGAAGATTCCATTTAATTAAAAGAAGTTGATACAAAGAAACTAAGTATATAATAAAATTTCATAGTTGGAAGAGAACATGATGCTTCTCTATTCCAATTACTGGTTATACCTGTTGTTCACAGTCTTTTAAATCTGAGCTCTTTGGCAATCCCATTTCAGCCGCTTTGGTCTCGTTAGGTACCATCCTTTCTCCCTCAGAATTAATTTTCACTCCTGTAATCAGAATGTTACTCTTAAGGGTCTCCCTTCTTAGTACCTTTAGGACCAAGTTCAAACTACCTAGCAGGATATAAGAGGCCCTTCATGATATAACTCCATTCTATTATTTTGACCTCTTCTCTCTAACCTCTTTTATGCACTAGCCACAGTAAATATCTGCTATTCACACTTCAGCACATATGTCTCTATGCTTGCATGTCTCTGTAGATGCTGTGCCTTCTGCCTGCAACACCTCCCACCTCCACACAGACCACAATCGCACCCTCCTTCACTTCCTTTCCATCCTTTGAACTCTTACCTATGATCCTTTTGTAGTTCATAAGCATGATGATTGAGTGTTCATACACATGTGTGAGGTATGTCACCCCCAAACCTTTTATGACATTGGCACATTACCTGTCTGACACGAAAGAAAAAAAATTTTGCAAAATGAGCTCTTACCTAGCCTTCAAGGATCAGCTCTGTCACTTTCTCTGTGAAGTATTCTGACTTTCCCCCACCCCAAAATGATGTATCTGTTCTTCTAGGACTATGCATCCAGCCATGGTTTCAACTAATATTTATTCCACGTGTACTGTGTGTCATATATAAGAGGCACTATAGCAGAGAAGTTAAGATGAGGAGCTCTCAAGCCAGACTCCCTTGGTGTGAATCTTGACCACTTACTAACTATAGCCTTGAGTAAGTTATTTGACCTGTCTGCCCAAGGTCTTGCTCTCTTGTAAGACAGGGATTATAAGCATTATCTGTCTCATAGGGTTGTCATGAAGATTAAATGTCATGAATATTATCCATAGAAAGCATTCGATGAACGTTAATTGTTGTCATTATTCAACATGAAATTAAGCTCCGGGTGGGAAGGGAGATTTTGCTCCCTCATATAGATAGACCCAAGGACCTAGATAAGTGCATGGTATGTAGCATGTGCTCTAAACACATGTCTAATGCATGAATCAATGAATGAATCAACCTGTGAATTGGCTAGGCACTCTCCTAATCTCAGGGTAAGTAACCTTGAAGAAGATACACAGAAACAAAAATGTATTTTCACACAATGTGTATATGCTGTGAAGGGTGTACATCAGAGAAATAGGATAGAGACTCCAGATGAATGAGCAGTATTAAGTGAGATGAGTAGAGCCATGCTAAGAACACTTGGGAGGATTTCAGCAAAGGGAACAGCAGGGCCTCGGGCCCCGAGTGGAGAACAAGTTAGCTAGTACAGACCTTCGCCAACTGCCACAGAAGGACTCTTTGAATGTCTGTCTTCCCCACTAGACTGTAAGCATTGTAAGAGAGGGATTTCATCTTATAACTCCTTATAAACACAGTGTCTGGCTAATAGTTGGGCATATCATAAATATTTGTTGATTAACAAAGGAATTCTCTTAAGAAAGCACCTTCCTGTTTGGAAATGCAGGAAAGCCCCTCTCCCGCCTGTCTGCTCTCTTTCCTCCTGGCATCTTCTGCCTTCCTCAAGTCTAGGCCAGGAAATTCATCTGACATTGACTTGCCTTCCCTTCTGTCATCAACAATCCTGAAC